TTCCTGCTTCTCTGGGTCGTGTGTGAATCCTCACTCTTAGCACCATTTCCTGAGTGAATGGAACCCGTACGAATTTGAATCCGTGGGTGTGCTGGAATGCACACACAGTAGCAAAGTAGTAATGAAGATTACCTAGTATAAACACTTATGCCATTAAAAATCCAGAAATAAGGGACTTCTATCCAAGATGTTCTTATTCAATCTACCCTGCATTAAGAGTGCGAGGTCAGAGGCACGAAGAAGGCAACATCTGCCATCTGTCAGTGCAATAAACCAGTACAAAATCAAATTGATAAAAATAGAAAGAAATGTTAAAGCAGTCTTACCGCAGGGTTTCCTGGTGTATGCAGCAGTTCAGCATCCTACAATAACATAAATCTAAGTTAGAAAAGTTCAACATTTGAAAGTGATGCCCCTCACAAGATATATTCTAAGCAATACATAATGCTTGAAAATCATTTCAGTATGATGACAAATACTTTGCTTACCGTATCTTTCACTGAGGTTTCCAACAGTTTAATTGTCTTGAAAAGCTGTTTGTATTTTGTTTTTTTATGTGAAGCTGCAGTCAGTGCCATACTGGAGCAGAGCAAAAGCATACAGAAAATAATCATCCTCTTCATGCTGATGAGTTTTGTTTTATAATGTGCCAGGAGCAAAGTTGTGCTATTCAAGATGAACACTTCGGTTTGAGCTGTGCTCAGGTATGCTACATACCTACCTATATATTGCTCCTTGCTGGAGATGTAAAACCCACCCATTTCAGTTTGGAAAGCTTTGTAGAATGGATTAATGAGTAACCCTTTTTTCTTTTCCACTGGCTAGGTGCATGTGTGCAAGTTTGTGCGTAGGGGGCAGGGATAGATGGAGTGGATGAAAATATGCCCCATCTGCACATTGGACAGGAAAAAGAGAGAAAAGGGTGAATTCCAATTTTCACTTTGAGTCAAGAGATGAACGTAGTAAAAAGTAGGTACTTAGAAACCACAGACTTAGGTAAACAAAGATTCTGCATTTTTTTCCTCTTTCTTACAGCACCGAATCTCTCCAATCCATCTGAAGCTCTCCTGTACCGTGCTGGAGAAGTAGGACAGGACTTCTTTGCAGAACTCAAATGCATATATCCCACTTACTTTATGGCTCCAAGGGAAGTTGGTTAGCTAGTTCTCCCTGATGTCCACTTGTATGTTCTTACCTTGATTTCTGCGATAATTGTTTGTAAAAGGTCATCTTTACGTTGAAGCCAGATGAATTTTGCCTTATATTTACTTGGAACCAGTATTTGGTATTTTAAGAGCATCGTATGTCCACTGAGGGTGAAAGTTGCAGGGAGACGTGTTGCCAGGGCAGAAGTGGATCCCCCGTACCCTACCCGTTCCTGTGACAGGAACCAATACTGGATCAGGGATAAATCCTGATGAGTCCTTTGAGGTGGTAGTCCAAAGCATGTGGCAGCTAAACACGTTCATTTACATAATGCAGCACCTAGGTTTGAGGTTGGTTTTGCCATTTATTGCAGCCCCTTTGAAAGAGGTACAATACTGAGGCGTGAGAATTCTCTTGAGAGAAGTGCATTTTTTTTGGTGTGAAATCCAGACAAAAGCGCATACTTTAAAAAACAGAAAGCCAGAATAAAAGCAGCAGAATGACCTGAACTAAGAAATAGGGCAGACTCTCATAATTTCCCTCAAAACTGATGCTTGTTCTAATTAAGTATATTTGCTGCTTTTGCGAAAATTTACCTAGTATTTAGAGTGCATTAGTGAAGGGCCTTTTTTTCCAGAGAATGCTGGTTAGGCATGTTTTCTTATAGGGACTTCTATGGTTGTGTTCTTCTTGAATGAGTGCCACTGAGGTTAAAGGTATTTTACAGATATTCTTCTTGAGGGTAGTCTTCTTTGATATTAGTTGCCTTCAACCCAGTCCTGGTTTCTGTCACTCTCACTGAGCTGCACTGTTCTCAGTAGGGCTCTCTGCAGGCACTAGGGACTTGCTGGACTCAAGGAACTGGTTGATTTTAAAATCACTCTTCCTGATATTTCATCACAATGAGGAAAAAAATGGCTTTAAATGGCTTTTATATATTATCATTAATAAATAGTTACCAGCACAGTGGAATTCCAATTAAAAGCTTCATATATGGAGTTAGTAGACTGCAGTCACTTTGACACCTTCACTGTGATGAATAAAAAGATGCCCATGTGTCTTTCAAATTAAATCTTTGCCTCTGACAGTCTGAAGATTTCAGATGACCTTGGAGATGCTTTACAAAACCTACCCAGTGTTTGGACTTCAATTTAGTGGCTGGACTGCTGCTCATATTGTATAAAATGTATGTTACTGCCCAGTGGGTGAATCTGGACGGTCAAACTGGATCCCCTGTTTCTTATTGTTCAGTTCAAAATGAGCAGTTAAGGTGATGAGACCTGTATCTGGCATACTTGAGTGTGTTTGTTTTCTCCATACAAACGATTATTTACTGTGCACTACTTGTGTGCTTAAGCCATTTTAGTTCTTTCAGAAAGTGAGTAGCTTAAAGGACTGAATTTTACATGTGTGTGTGTATATAATGAGCTCAGGCTTTCACGTAGGCACACGCGAAATCTCTCCTGGTGAAAAGGATAGTTGATCACACCTAATAGAACAGAAGTATTGAAAAATGAGAACTGAAACCAGTAAGAAAAAGAATACTTTCTTCTACCACATACTCTAAAATGTAATTTCTTGAAGAAAAGACAGTGTGATCATTTATTTTTTTTTATTTTGACTGACATGCCTTGAAATAATTTTATATAAGCAGTGCAGCTGAACTGTGAAGTGGTGGGTATCTCAACAGGTTTTATTTAGAAGTTTTGTTAATTTATAGCTAAAGAGAGGCTGCTGAGAGGATGGAGAGATTATTTCTGGTGGTGGTATTCTTTACATGAAGAGAATACTTAGCTCTGCTCCTCTTTACGATAACTGACCCTTCATCTTCTCTGTAGATTACTAACTAGTAACTTGGATGAACTTGCATTGTGTTCTTAATCCAATTTTTGACTAGTTGGAAGTGTTGATAGTCGACGAGCAGGCTGGAGATAATATCTGCTTCTGTTTTTATTGTCGATATTTCAGCTGTGAATTCTTCGGAGAAGCTGCTTTGAGCCCAACTACTGTAGACGTCTGTGCTAGCCCTGACAGCCTTTATTTTATATATCTTTATTTGGTTGGTAGGTTGAAAGCTTTCCACTGGATACGGAGTACGACTTACTACCTCTGTCCTCATTAGGTGGCTGGCAGTTATTCTTGCAAAGATATCACTGCCGATTGTTTGCATCGACAAGATAACTTCGGAATCGCTGAAGAAATTCAGTTAATGCCCAATATGACTGTCCATATAATTTGAGAAATGCAGGGCTTGAAGGGACAACATAGAGGGCATTGACTCCTGTTGTCATACGGCCACATCGTATGGCACCTCTAATATTTAATATAATCACAAGGCTCAGCGCATTAGTAGCCTGGACAGTCGTGAGGTCCTGTTGCTTTAGGGAAGAAAGAAAAAGAAATATAATGGCAGACAAAGGCAGCTTTAAATCCACTGAACTGAGCTCAAGTCTGATGAGCATTGATTTGAGGATTTTGAGTCATCAGAAGCTTCATATTTAAGCAAGGCTGTCATGTTAGGCTGTGGTTATCCCCCTCTGAGGGGGAGAGCCCTGCTACTTGTGAGTACTGTTCCGAGGCCCTAAGAAAACAAACCTTCTTGTATGGCGCTGCACTGTGAAAGGCAGTTGAGGACATTAGAGGAGATAAAAAGGTTGGTTGCGGTGAAGACCACCGAATATTTCACAGTAAAACCTACTGTGTGAAAGAATGACTGTACAGTAAAGTGAGATACCACTTGGGAAGTCACTACTAGGTGAAGCATTGTCATTTTTTACCAGAAGCATCACAGAAATACTGCAGACTTTGTTAATTTGGTGATCCAGGATAATTTGTGGGTTTGGTTGAGGCAAACCTCTACTGAATTCATGGGAGGCGAGATGGCTCTGTCTGAGGTATTTCTAAATTAAATCTGTTATATTGTTAAAGTTGGTGGCGTTAGAGTGGGAAGCTAACCAGGTATCTGTCACTGTTGTAGCAGGTGGTGCCATATCGTGTCTCTGGAACTATGTAGTCTTGTGTTCTAAAACTCTGCAGTCTTGCCTTTTGTGTTAGAGGCTCTAAGGTCAGAATATTTGCTTGAAGAAAGGCATGCTCACAGAGAAAGTGAAATATAAGGACAAAGAAGAACTTCCTTTGTGTCTAGGCAGTGGAGAAAACTCCTTGATATCCCTCTTATCAGATAAGTGCGACCAACATGCTTTTTTATATACGTCATTTCTTTTTTTTGCGGCTTAGGAACATGCTGAGTCAAATAATGACACTCTCTCTCGAACCGTCGCCTGCTTGGCCCCAGAGGAATGGCTGCAGAGTGGAAATCTGAAAAAACCTCCCATCCCAGGACCGCGAGGCTGAGTCCTCCTCTTTCCTCCTTGCGACAGTGTCACCCAAGCGCTGAATGACTTCAAACCTGAAAGCCCAGTTCCCCCACCCACATTTTCCTTTACAGGGTAGCTGAATGGAGGCTTTTCCCATAGCTTAGTCATTGCTATGGTTCAGCCAAAAAAGTCTGTAATGTACAGGGCTGCTTTCAAAGAATTTCTGTAACTTAATGTACATGAAATTTCATATGTGCACTAGCTGCAACTCAGGGGATTGTAGGAAGGCATTGGGAGAGAGTTGTGCTGGAAGATGGGGGACTAGGAAGAAGACTCCTGGATAATGGATTTAGGAAAACTGGTCTTGAAAATATTTCTGACAACTTAGCAAGTTAGTTCTGCCCTCTTTCAATCTTATTTTCTTGTAGTAAGCTTTGGTATAATTCTTCTGTCTTCCAATGTGGCTTTGATAAGAGAAAATCAAACCTGAGAAGAAGTCTATTCCGAACTTGTACCACTTGTATTTACTCTGGTTATTATAGCAACTGTGAATATGTGGTGGCATAGACGCTAAAAAATTAATAGAGTGCATACAACAATATAAAACCATTTATATTCTCCATAATGCTCCCCCAGAGTGAACTTACAGGCTGTTTCTAATCCATACTGAAGTGGATTTAACATTGATTAATAAAAAGATCCATGCAGTAAATGAAGGAATTGAAGGAATAAATGGAGCAGCTCTTACAGGAGATTGTGCATTTCTCTCCTACAAGAATGTACTGAAGATCAAAGGGATGCCAAGCGAAAGCTTTTATTACAGATTATTCTCCTTATATCATGTAAGGGTAATTGCCTTGAGCAAAATATTTAAGACTGTTCCCAGCTGCTGGGAAACAGGAGAGTATGACAAGTGCTCAGCTGGCTGGGTTATAACATGAGCTGTTCTGTTTTCAAAGAACTCATGCGAGTGCCAAAGAACTCTCCTGTGTGCGGTTCGTAACAGGGGCCAGAGTGGTTTCTGGGTGCTGTGGACATGCTAGTTTGGGACCTCAAGCTGTTAGGAAATCTAAAAATTATTATCTTACACTTTCAGCAGTAAACATCACTGACATGAGCATTATAATCTGTGGTTCTCAATTGCAACTAAGGCTGCTCGT